TCATACCTGCCTTCCTGGAGTTCCAGTGGCCATCACTGCCCCCCACCCCCACCCCTTTCTAGCAGGCAGTGCTGTGAGCCTAAACGTTTTTTCACCTTTTTATGAACTGTCTTGATCTTTTTGCCCAATTGCCTAAAGGATTCTGCCATCATCTTTTAATGAGCTAATGATTTATATCCCTTGATGTTGACGGTTCTTGTTCATTTTTCTTAACCGTAAGATATACCTTTTCGACACGCCTTCCTTTATTTTCCTAAAGGAACATATTCTTAGGTAATACCATTAAATATTTGTTCTGAACAGAACGTTGAACAACGAACATTTTTTGCTTTCTCTTCTTTGTGGAAATTCACTTTTGCGCATTCAGATCTTCTTTGCCTGTCTTCTAACCCTTCTTCTGGTTTTACTTTGGCTTCATTTTCTTTGATTTCTTTTTACTCTGGGTGCCGATGTCTTCTTCACGGTCTAGTCTCCTTTTTGCTCCTTCCCATTTCATTTTACATCTGTGATGATTTTGTTCTTCTCTCTTCCACTTGCTTCCTGAATCCAGCACCTCACGTTTTATCACCTCCTTTCTTCTCACCACCTTCCTTGATTCTGGTACTTCCTTATGTGGTGTTCCTCAGAGTGACTGCTTCCTAATCCTTTTCTCCTTTTTTTTCTTTTTTTAAATTCATGATGAAATGTTCATCCAGAATTTTCATCTGTTCTATGACAATACTATTCTGGTGAATATTCTCCATGTATTAGGTTTTATTAAATTCAGTTCATTTTGGGGGCACCTGGGTGGCTCAGTCAGTTAAGCGTCCAACTTCAGCTGAGGTCATGATCTCATGGTCTGTGGGTTCGAGGCCCACGTCGGGCTCTGTGCTGACAGCTCGGAGCCTGCTTCAGACTCTGTGTCTCCCTCGCTCTCTGCCCCTCCCCCACTTGTGCTCTGTTTCTCTCTCTCAAAAATAAATAAGTGTAAAAAAAAAAATTAAATTCAGTTCATTTTTTTACCATTAAAAAAAAAAATACTGTATCTTTGCACCAATGCTGTGTCAACTCTACTGGTCACTCAGCACAGAACGAGTCCTATGGTACTGGTTTGACCTTCTCAGCAGGTTCCTTCAGAAGGGAAATCTGCTGATCTTTTCTAAGCCATTCATCCTGTCCTCCCCATATTCCGTACCTCGAGTTTTATGTGTAAGGAACCTGCTGGCCATTTCCAGGTAAATTGTGTATGTTTATTGGCATTTCTGAGACCTGTCACCCTGACTTGTTGCATTGTCACTTCTGTGACACACTGTGCTTCTGACACCGAGAGTTTCTGCTCTTCTCCTTTATTCTCAGGTCATGCAGCTTGCTAGCTGCCTGTAAATGTCCAGGAGGAAAGAAAGGAAACTGCTATCCCATACTGCCCAGTTCACCCCGAAGTTTCCACATGTAACTTTTCAAAAGAAAAATCCTCTAAAATTTGATACACAAAATAAACTTACTTTAAGAGTTCATCTCTTTCTGTCTTCCGTGCAAACACGATGTCACTGCACTTGTTCTGGAACCTGACCAGGATTTCAGTCAGCTCATTGTAAAACTGTAAGTAAAGAAATACAAGTAATAAGCCAGAATGATATTTTAATCTGAAGAGGAACACAGTTTAAAGCTCGTTTGTCAATCACGGTTAAACCTAAACAACCAAAATCCTCCGCATGACACAGTCATACCACTAAGGTTCAACAAGTTAATATTGAATATGACCTAATAATATTCCTAAAGAAAATGAAATAAACTCATTTTTGGAGAACACCTGTCACCAAAAATCAAATGGAACAAACTATAAGTTTCATGATCATGAGTATGTTCCCAATTCCTGGAGAAAAGGCAAGTACTTAAAGATAGGAAACCTATTTCAGTGGAAGGATTAGATTGCACATTCACTTCAGAAATACAGACATCACTTCAGAAACTCTTAGAGGCATTTCCAAAGGCTCTCTGAAGAATTTTCTCAGCTTATCTATTTGAACAAACCATTTTAAACCAAATTAAAACGGGATCTTCCTATCCTATTTCCAAGGCTTCGTCGTATTTCTACCTCTTCAGAGGTTTTCACCTTACATCCAAGGTATTTGTATCAAAATAACTTTATTCAATAATTACCATGGAGTTAAAATACCACAAGGTATTGTGTATCTGAAAAACTAACGATCACCTGTTCCCTCAAAAGCAAAGTAAATGTTAAAAACAAATATAATCATTTCCCTAAGCTATTTAAAGGAAAGGCAAGAAAATACTTAACATATTTAGTAAGCATCCTGAGACTCAGGCAGATAACAAGTCCACCGTTATCCAAACCATCAGCACAGAATATAAAAGCCATATCCTCCCCTCCCTTCCCCACCACAGTTCAGCTTCGACTACTCCTGTTCCCGCATAATTCACTCAAATTGGTCAACTTCCTGTCCCCCCAAAAAGCGTCACTGGCTTTTGACATCTCTGTGCTAATTTCTTTTACCTGAAATTCCTACATCCTCTTTCTGTCTGGTGAAATACACAATTCATTCTTCAACATTCTCATGAAATATTGCCACCTTTGTTAAGGCTTTCCTTCCCTTATGACAAGCCTCTCAGAGGAAAAAATCATTAAAGCTAGGAAGTTCGAGACAAAGAATAATAATAAGGTCCAACTGGAAAAACTATTAACTTCTCAAACTATATTTTCACTCTGTACTGGTGAACTACTGTTTCTTTTGGACTTCATACCTTTGTGCCCTCCTTCAAATTAGCCACAAGCTCAACAAAGTTGTCATATGCAGTAGCTAAATTCTTCAAAACTTCTTCTCTTAAGTTAGCTTCATTATTAGATTGCTTCATTTTTGAAAACTCCTGGTGTGAGACCTTGTTAAAAGAAAGATTTATGTATTTACATTTATTTATCAAATTAATATAGCCTGTAACACTTTTACTGATACTTTCCCAACTATATATGAAAATCATATGTGATTACATGCAGGAATCACTAGAAATTTACCTAATAGAATTTTTGGAATAACACAGTACCTTAATTCTTAAAGTAAAAATGTCACAAATTCAGTGGTTATCAAAATACAACCAATAACGATTACAGATTTCTATTAGTATGTACTACTTGCAAAACACAATCCTGACATAGATTTAGTCCAGGTTTATCCTTTCTGTGATTTTCTTAAACATAAATCTTACTAAAGCATATAAACCTCACCTGAATATTTTTAAGAAGTTCTTCCTGTTTCCGTAGAGATTCTTGGACTTTCGTCGTAAGACCTCCATAGATTCGATCCAGCTCAGTGACAGAAAGAGCTTCTTCATTTATTACACCATCTTGAGCCAAAGCAGTCAAAAATTTGCTTGTCATGTCAAAATTCACTGATTTCAAGTCATTCTCTAGCCCTTCTCTTTCCTTCTTTACTTCATCAAGATTGGTCAATAAGGATTTTAAGACATTTACAACCTAAACAATTAAAACAAAACAAAGCAAACAAAACCCCTTAGTTTAAACTGCCAAAAAAACCAGAAGCCAATTTCAAGAAGGGAATTATGTACACAAAGGTTCACTCCTTTGAGACGAATTCTCAGACAGCCAAGCATAAATTGCACATCAGCTTTATTTACATTGTACCTTTAGTGGACTCAGATTATAAGAGCAGCGGCAATAATGATAACACCAGCAAGCATGATGATTTACATGAACATTTATTATGTGCCAGGGACTGTCCTAAACACTTCACAAATTTAGTATTATCCTTACAATATCCCATAAGGTATATATTTATTACTTCTCTTCCACAAATAGAGAAATTAAGCCTCAGAAAAATTAAGTAACTTGCCTAAAGTTACACAGCTACTAAAGGAACACAGGTAAAATTTGAGACCTCAGTCTGCCTAACTCCACAATCAATCTCGTAACCACTCTACACTACACTATCTCCCTGTCATGGTTCCGAGGTAGAGGGAGATATGTTCTTGCCAAGTAAGCAGATACTCTATTTTGCTGACATGGAGAGACAGAGATATACAGAGAGAGACATGGAGATAGAAACAGAGATACAGATCTATACGGAGAGAGCATCTTAGATAGAGAAAGAAGAGAGCCAAAGAGGTAGATACAAAGCTATAAACTACATGTTTATGTTATATACTGGTAGAGAGAAAGGAGAGAGGCCTCTTGTACATCTCTTCATTCCACTAAGAGTTCTATCTCTGATTCGGCCCAGGCATCTCGAACACCCACATGATTCATAAACAGCCCTTTGGAGTCCATGTTACAGTGCCCAAGTGCCCCGCTGATGCCACTTACAAACTGTCCCTTTTCACTCACATCTCTCCGCACTCTTGCTAAGACCACCAGGGAGAAAACCAACCGCAGAGCCCCCATGCGCTTGCCCCCATGATGCTCAGAGAAAGTAAGCTGGGGCAAAGACAAAGGAAGAAGGGGACACCCAGGAACCCCATCTATATCCGTCTGTCTTCTTACCATGGCATTTCCAACCCCAATGGCTCTCCCACCTACCGCCGGTGTCTAAGCATTTCTGTCCTACTCTTCATGAGACAGCCCTCATTAGCTCCTTGGCAAGTGTCCAAAATAACCTTCCTTTGTGAAGACTAAAAATCTGAGGAAAAATCTGTAATTTCTTCTAAATTTTGGCCTCTGTTCACCGCCTACACCTCTTATGTATCCTATCTTAAATGCAGAGTCTTTTAAACACTCAGAGTAGTGGAGAGAACTGTGACTCCGGGAGGTCCAAGAAGCCTCAAACCACAGATACTGTCGATGGAAGGAAGAGGACAAATAATCACACCTACATGGAGATGGCAAGTCTGTTTCAGGGATCTGGTGGAATCTGATGTTAGACCATGTGCATAAGAATCTTGTTTCCAGATGACTTCCGGGATATATTGTTACATGAAAACCAAAGGCACCAGAGCATACATACAGCATATTACACTCTGAGTAAAGAGGAGGGAAATCAGAAATAGGGGCTCCTGGGTGGCTCAGTCAGTTAAGCATCTGATTCTTGGTTGTGGCTCAGGTCATGATCTCAAGGTTCCTGAGATCAAGCCCCGCGTTGGGCTCTGCGCTGACAGCATGGAGCCTGCTTGGGATTCTCTCTCTCCCCCTTTCTCTCTGCCCCTCCCCCACTCATACGCACTCATTCTCTCTCTAAATAAGCTTTAAAAAAAATAGACATATACACACATAATATAGTATATGTGTGTGCACATGTAATTTTAAAAAAATAGAAAAACAGGACAAACCAGAAAGTAACAAAAAAGGTTGTTTATAGAGAAAGGATGGAAACAAGGTGGAAAGAACAGAGATGAGATTTGTCTGCATGCACCTTTGGAATTATGAACATTTTTTACACATTCAAAACACAAAATTAAATCACAACTTGAATATAGGAACACAAGTACCTAGTTATCCATCAAAGTGAAACGTAATTACGTAGAAAAAACTATTTCAACCCTGACTACGTTCCCTTAATGGACATATTATGACTTAGGTCCTGTGTAACCAAGGATACTGTACCTCCTGGAAAACTCAATCTCGTTACCTGCAAAGCAAGAATAAGAGTACTTATCCCAGAACTGTTGTGAAGACTGAAATCATATCAAGTGCTCAACGAAATTTGTAACACAGGGTAAGCACTCAATCAGTAGCAGCCATTATTATTAACTGGTAGTTAGGTGTTACAGTTTAACACTATACTTTGGGTACACTATAGAATAAAGAGGCTTAGGCATCTACGCAGTAAGAAGAGAGGAACAATGAGGAATAGATTAAGAATTAAAATATTTAGGGGCGCCTGGGTGGCTCAGTCGGTTAAGCATCCGACTTCGGTTCGGGTCGTGATCTCACGGTTTGTGGGTTTGAGCCCCCTGTCGGGCTCTGTGCTGACAGCTTGGAGGCTGGAGCCTGCTTGGGATTCTGTGTCTCCCTCCCCTCAGCTACGCCCCTGCTCACACTCTGTCTCTCTCTCAACATAAATAAAGACTTTAAAAAAATTCTTTTTAAAAAGAATTAAAGTATTTATTCTGCTGTAACTACGGGACACATTTTTTTTTGGGGGGGGGGTGCAATAGGATATAATTTTAAAAGGCTGGGGCAGTATTATCTATTGTCTTATTTTAAACAGATAATGGAACCTCAACCATGACTGTGGCTCTATGTGAAGGTTGTTTAACTATTAGAAAAATGCCACTTATCTTTCTCTCAGTTATGTCCAAAAAAAGCCAGAAAGAAAATAATAAAACAGTCAAGTAAAATAAAGCTGGGGGAGAAACAGGAATATGCAAAACCCGTTCAAAAAAAAAAACAAAAGTCTACTAAACAAAGCTGAAAGTCAGGGATACCATAACACATTATCTAGAAACAGACTGGATGTGTCTTTCATAGCAGGCAAATAAGACCCTCTCATCAAATAATGGGTCCCCAACTGCGGTGGTGGTAGCCCAAGTTAGCCAACAAGTAATATGAGGAGACAGACGTGGTCCACGAGGATATAACCTCGTGTTCAGTGAAGAGCTAAGCATTCACAGGCGACAGAGTAATGTGGGAAGAGGACCCCAGCAGAATGTGGAGACCCCCAAGTTCTAATCCCAGCTCCACTATGAAGAAAAGCTAATCCTAACTTTTACGGTGGTCAGTTTTCTAATCCGTGATAAAAAAAGGGCCAAAGATCTATTTAGTAAGTCCTATTCTATTCCAAAATGCTATGATTCTAACTCTCCGGAAAAAAATGCTATTTAAAACAACCAATTTATAAATGAACTTTTAGACCACCACACAAAGATAGAAGGAGAGTCCTTGTATGACAAACATTCTCTTTTTTTTTCTTCAAACTATCATATATACTAGTTTAACCCTAGTTTAGACTGTATGATATCGGCCTCATTTTAACAGAACGAATACAGGAGAAAATGAAGTTTAACTGCTTCCACAAATGACCAGAATAGTTAAGAAAAGTAAACCACGGTCTACTTTCTTATACACTCAGGGCCTAACATGTTATCAAGTTAAAGCATATAAGTAATTAGAATACCTACACACCTCCATGTTCAATGCAGTGTTATTTACAACAGCTGAGATATGGAAACCTAAATGTCCATCAATGGATAAGTGAATAAAGATGTGGTGTATATACACACACACACACACAGACACAGACACACACACACACACACACACACAGGAACATCAGCTATAAAAAAATGAAGGACTGCTAAGGTGGGTCAGTTGGTTAAGTGTTGGGCTCTTGATTTCGGCTCAGGTCATGATCTCACAGTTCGTGAGATGGAGCCCTGTGTCGGGCTCTGTGCTGACAGCACGGAGCCTGCTTGGGACTCTCTCTCTCCCACTCTCTGCCCCTTCCCCACTCACGCTGTCCCTCTCTCTCTTAAAATAAATATACACTTAAATAAAAATGAAATCTTGCCATTTGTGACTTGAATATGCCTTGAGGGCATTATGCTACATGAAATTAAGTCAGCCAGAGAAAGACAAACACCCCATGATGTCATTTATATGTGGAATCTAAAAGAAAACCAAGCTCACAGATACAGAGAACAGACTGATAGCTGCCTGAAGTGGGGCGTGGGGATGGACAAACTAGATAAAGGGAGTCCAAAGGTACAAACTTCCATTAATTAAATAAGTCGGTCACGTGGATATAATGGAAAGCATGGTAACTACAGTTAGGTATACCATATTACATATTTGAAAGTTGCTGAGAGTAGATCTTAAAAGTTCTCAACACAAGAAAAACAATCCTGTAACTACTTGTTGGACTGATGTTAACCAGAGTTATAATGATCATTTCACAATATAAACAAATACCGAATCATTAGGGTATGTACCTGAAATATAATGCTGTATGTCAATTACACCTCGATAAAAAAAAATTTTTTAATAATAATTACAACCCTGTTGTATTTATTTCTGTGTTTTATAAACAGCTCCGATTACCTGTCAACTGCAATTAACTACATCCCTTTATAGTGTTAGGTTACCAGCAGCTATCATTCCAACAACACTTTTTGAATCCTCACATGTTGGGCACTGTTCTAGGTTCTAAAATACAACTACTAACAAAAGCAGAGTCTTCCCTTCATGTGGGGGACAGAAGAAGGGAGGGGAGGATCAAACAACTACACAAAAATAGAGCAATACGGTAGACAATGACCAAGAAAGGGAAGGGGTGACATCTGGAGCTTTAATGAAAAAGAAGCAGCGACCAAGCAAAATGGAAGAAAGACCCCAACAGAAGGAAGGCAAACGTTAAAGTCCTGAGGCAGGAACAAGCTTCACATGATCAAAGGACCCAAAAAAAAAAAAAAAAAAAAAAAAAAAAAAAAAAAAAAAAAAGGCCAGTATGGCTGAAACACAGTAAAAGCAGGAAGGCAGAAATGAGATCACCTAAGCCATTTCACCTTTAAGACCCATGGCTGTTGCAAAGTTTTCCTGTAAAGAACCAGACAGAAGGGAAAAAAGAAAAAAAAATTTTTTTGGCTTTGTGAGCCATAGTCTCTGTTACAACTATTACAACTATTCAATTCTGCCTTTCTAGTGTGAAAGCAGCCACAGACGAAATGCAAAGGAATGAGTATAACTATGCTCCAACAAAAATTTATTTATGGATACTAAAATTTGAATTTCATATAATGTTCATATCCTAAAACATCATTGACTTCTTTTCAACCATTTAAAAATGTAAGAAGCATTCTTGGCTCACAGGCCACACAAAAACAGGAGGCAGTCTGGATTTAGCCCGTAGCCCACTGCGTGCCGGCCCCATGTGGATGACCAAACTCTCTGTGGCATCTAACATCACCAAACACAGGCAGGCACACACACACCAAATACTCTCAGTGAGATATCAGCTTTACTTTTCAGACCCTGCCAATTTAGTTTCAGAAAAGGGAGACATGAGACTACCTCGGTAACAGAACAGCAGGAAGCTGACCACACTTACCCTACACTAAAGCTAATCTACAGTTTTCCATCTCTCTCTCTCACGAACCACCATGCCATAGTTTCTGGCATATAGTAAGTCTTCAACAAGTGTTTGGTGAGCAAATGAATGAAGAGATGCCAGTCAATCTGGACACCTGTCTATATATTTTGTTATGAAAAACTAAGAGTAAATAAAAGCTGTATTTGCAGATCACCCACCAGTCTAGAAGATGACTTTGTGGGAGCCAGAAAAAAGCCCTAGAGGGACACACGGCTCTGGACAGCGCTACTTTATGAACTATCTCTGAGGAGATGGGAGCTTTTTTCCCCCCAAAGCACCCCTCCATCACCTGAGGCAGATACAGCACTGTGAGTATTAGTGGATATCACTTTTGTACAAAAAAAACAAAAAAAGAAAACACACCCCTTCCTCTGGGCAGACTCAGCCCTACTGGAGGGCCAAGGCTTGGCTGCCCAAATGTGGACCAGATTCTGTACCCTAGCTGATCAGAGGTGCACTATCACAGCAGCAGTCCTAGGTATTTAAAAAAGGATTTTTCAACACAAATTACCCACAGCTGCAAAATTTTTAAGAGCAACTCAATACATAAAAACAAATGGCCAAAGAGACCAAGATGGACAGTAGGCTCCTTCACAATAAAAGAAGAAAGAGCCTACCATTAAGATCGGAGCTGCCTTAATAAAATGTGCACTTTCTATCACTTTAATACCAGAATTCAAATGACTGTGTTTTTATCATAAAAAACTCCGGCTGAAATGCGTCATCAACCACAACGACAACTACCTGAAATAGCTTTGATAAAGGCACATGATGAACGAATATACAGAGCACTGAGGTTTTCTGTTGCTTCCATCCAGAGAATCTAGCTTCAGTAAAGTAACTTCGTATTGACCATACAAATCTTCTTCCCCTATGTAACACCACTACGAATCAACAACTGCATATAATAACACATTAGTGCATGCCAATTCCAACTGTGCTCCGCATAGACCATTTTTGCTTTTCTACTGCAAGCAGGAGAATCAAAGGACAGAAGCCGTGCTAAGTTCTAAGTCACAGACAAGACGCCAAAAAGGAAAAGCTGAGGGGAGACCTGACCAGCTCAGTTAATAGAGCATGCGACTCTTGATCCTGAGGTTGTAAGTTCGAGCCCCGTGTTGGGGGTAGAGATTAGTTAAAAATAAAATGGAAGGAAGGAAGGGAGGGAGGAGACAAGAGGATACCAAGCAGGGATTTTCTCTTTCCCGAAAATAAAAACAGGGCCAGATTTTGTTGCTCTTCCGTGGGTCTGTAGTCTCTGTTCCTCACAAAGTAATCTAACCACCTTCCTTCTTCCTTCCTCCCACTTCCTTAAAGCATCTAATGGATATTCTTTGTTCCGTCAGGTTCCCCCCACCTTGAGAGATCTGGGTTCTGTGCACATTCAACCATGCAATCTTCACCGTGGGGGCTCATTTCCACTGAACCTCTCTGACAGCGTCTCTGGACATACCCACTCACTCAGTCTTCCTCGGAGTTTATGTATTCACTCTGTCTGCCTGTCAACTCTGTTCTCACCATGTGCCAATTTCTTAAGAAGCTTCTTAAGAAATGCTAGCATTTAAGTGCTTAGTCATCTAAATCCTCACAGCATACTTTTTTTTTTTTAATGTTTATATTTATTTTTGAGACACAGAGAGACAGAGCATGAGCGGGGGAGGGGCAGAGAGAGAGAGAGGAAGACACAGAACCCGAAGCAAGCTCCAGGCTCTGAGCCATAAGCACAGAGCCTGACGCGGGGCTCGAACCCATCAACCTCGAGATCATGACCTGGACTGAAGTCGGATGCTCAACCAACTGAGCCACCCAGGTGCCCCAGCACACTTTCTATAGTCACAACACTTCTGCATTTCTACCCTGTATTACAGTTCTCCTTGTATATGGCTAATCTTCCACACTGGACTGAAAATTGAGGGTAAAGGTTGTTTATGATTCATTGCTGATTTTTCCAAGTACCTAGCATAGTGCCTTACAGAGTAGGTACCCAAGAAGTCTTGGTTGAATAAATACGTGAAATGTTTCTGTGGAAAGACAATGCACAACACTGATAACTTTTGAGACCTACTACACCCCAGGAAATTCACCTATTTCAAGAAGTTTTCAGCAAACATTTCTTGCCCTTTGGCTTATTTTCCTATGCACTTCAGGGCCTCTATTTTATTCTACTACATCACGGCACAGTTATCAGCCACTAAGGCATATTTGCACCTTCTCCTCTTAGGACTTTCTGACTCACATGCCCTACTATTGGTCTTCCCCTTCCTGTCACAGGTAGAAATGCCATGATGACGTTACCCACGGGTTAACACGCACAGCTGGTTGATTTTTCCTTTAGAGATAGTCCCAGTGGAATACAGTGGAAGGAAGCAGAGAATGATGGAACTAAAAACAAAAAAAGGTGTGGTCAGAAAAACATCTGGCCAAACCCAGTCCTTCTACTTCACGGTTCATGAGTTCCAGCCCCTTTTATTGAGAAACACTCAATAAATGGAATTATTATAGGATAGTAATATCACCAATGTAGTTACATATGACACAATGTATATGTTCTACTTTATACATACGAACCTCAATTTATGTCTGCATTTTTTAAAAGATGACAATATGAAACTGGCAATTCATTGTGCTCATAATGGCTCGAACGTCGTTTTCATAAGCAGATGACCACCCACATGACAATGCATCTTCTTACCTCGCTGCCCTGCATGGTCCTTGCTGGGTTAGCAGAAGGGATGGCCGCGTTCAGCTCAGGCTCCGGCTTACACAGAAGGGCAATGGTGTCTCGGTGAGACTGGTAACGTTCTTTCACCTGCCCATCTGCTTGCACAGCTTTATCCAAAACTGTTCTGAAGTTGGTTCCCTCTGTCGGGGGAAAAAAATGTCACTTGAGCACAGCACTGATTTGAACAGTAACATCTATGGGTTGGTTATACTTTTAGTTCTGCGCTCCAAATTTACCTTTTCCCCCTCTTCTATGGGTTCCATCTCACTACATAACAGAAACTGAGCTCCTGTCACTCTTGGCATTTTTTATTTCTGGAAAATTGCAGTTAAACCTTAAAATACATTTATGGTTATTGTCCACCAAAAAAAAGCTGACATCAGTTTAATGTATTCCTCCAACTCATTAAGATAGAAACACTCCAAAAATTGTTACAACTTACTCAAAAGAGCAGTTTCAACTTGACTTTAAAGAACAGCAAATATATTTTTAGAAAAAATCAATTGTATTAATTCCTTTTACAGAGAAGTATAACAAGTCTCTAGCAACCGTAATGACATTTATCTAACAAACACAAATCTTAATAACTAAAGTCTTAAAAAATGATAATTTGACTTCAAATTAACTGGTGGGGCACCTGGGTGGCTCAGCTGGTTAAGTGTTCAACTTCGGCTCAAGTCATGATCTCATGGTTCATGAGTTCCAGCCCCGGGTCAGGCTCTGTGCTGACAGCTCCGAGCCTGGAGCCTGCTTCGGATTCTGTGTCTCCCTAGCTCTCTGCCCTTCCCCCACCATACTCTCTCTCTCTCTCGAAAGATAAACGTTTAAAAAAAGATTTTTTTAATTAACTGATAAAACTCCTATTTTCCACCCACTACTAAATTAAATGAAATTACAAAACCATATGTATATAATATGATCTCATTTATTTTTTACAAATATGCTTCCCATGGGGAAGCTATTTAAAAAAAACAAAAAACAAAAAAGATGCACAGGCCTTGGAATAGGAAAAGAGAGTTACAGAATCATTTTTTTTTAATTTTTTAATGTTTATTTATTTTTTTAAGAGACAGAGGGACAGAGTGTGAGTGGGGAACGGGCAGAGAGAAGGAGGGGAACACAGAATCTGAAGCAGGCTCCAGGCTCTGAGCTGTCAGCACAGAGCCTGATGCAGGGCTCGAACCCATCAGCCGTGAGATCATGACTTGAGCCGAAGTCGGAGGCTTAACCGACTTAGCCACTCAGGCGCCCCCAGAATCATTTTAATTTTTACTTTATACCATTTTTAAGAATCCAAACTTCTTACAATGAAATGAACATGGACTACCTCTGTTACTTATTTAGTTTTTATCTTACAATGAACTGAGAAAAACACCTGTGTTTTCATAATAGTAGTTTTAGTAACAACTGGTTTACACATGACCCTAATTTAATCAATCAAAAATGTGGGTTCAAATTGGGAATTTATTGCACACCTGACTGGCTTAGTCAGAAGAGCACATGACTCTTGATCTCAGTGTTGTGACTTTGAGCCCCGCGTTGGATATAGAGATTACTTAAAAATAACACCTTTAAAAAAACGGGGAACTTATGCAAGCGAAAGCCATTTATGCACATTTTTACCTGCTCTTAAAGGCTTATAGAGATCATTAGATGGTGTCCTTTGCCAGCGTTCCTTGAATTTTGCTCTTAAATCATTGTCCGTGGCTTCTTCTTCATCCAACAATCTTAATGACTTTTAAAAAGGGGGCAAAGCAACAATGAAATATCATTTCTGATAATAAAAAATTTAAAACACTTTTTAAATGATCAGACTCAAGACAGGTGAGAATTAGTGAGATGGGAGTGAGTGCCCCTACGTTACTGGCTGGGGTACCAACTGGTACAACAGTTTTGTTGCACAAATCCAACTTACGACATATTTAACACAAAGTCTTATAAAATGCAGGGCTGCATTTAGCCATTACCTTATTCAGTAAATTAAAAAGGAAGAGTAACTAAGAGAATATGTATATCCATACACCAAAACTACTTTAAACAAAGATTCCAAAAAGGAAGAAGTAAAACGACCTCTACGTGCAGATTACGTGACCTTACATAAAGAAAATCCTTAGGAATCCACAAAATAACCATGAGAAATAATAAACAAACTCAGTAAAGTTACAGAATACAAAAGAAACATACAAAATCAGTTGCATTTCTATACTGTAGCCATGAACAATCCAAAAAGGAAATTAAGACAACGATTCCATTTAAATAGCATCAAAAGAATAAAACACTTAGGAATAAATTTAACCAAGGAGGTGCAAGACTTATACCCCAAAAGTTACCAAACACTGTTGAAAGAACCTAAAGAAGACCTAAATAAATGGAAAGACATCCCTTCCGTATTCACAGAAGATTTAATATTGTAAAGACTGGCAATACTCCCCAAATTGCTCAAAACATTCAGTGCAATCCCTATTAAACTACTAACTTTAGGATTTTCTGTATAAAGGTTAAGTCAAAACCACAATGAGATGCCACTCCATACCCACAAGGCTGGCTAGAATTAAAAAACAGAACAACTGTAAGGGTTGGCAAGGATGTAGAGAAACTGGAACCTTCACACACTGCTGGTAAGAATGTAAAATGGTGCAGCTGCTCTGGAAAATAGTTCGACGGTTCCTAAAAAAGTTGCACATAGAATTCCTATATGACCCAGCAACTCCACTCCTCTGTATATACCTAAGAGAATTTAAAACAGGTGCTTAAAAAACGTTCCCAAGTAACATTATTAATAACCAAAAAAGCGAAACATCCCAAATATCTACTACTGATAAATGGATAAACAGTAGGTGATACCTCCATACAATTGAAGTATTATTCATCCATAAAAAGAAATTAAGTGCTGACACTATAACACGGATGAACCTGAAAACATTGTGCTCAGTGACAGAGGCAGAAGGTGCACATGCCGTCTACGATTCCATTCACATGAAATGTCCAGAGTAAGCAAATCCAGAGGGAGAAATCAGATTAGCAGCTGCCTAGAGACGGGGCAAGGGGTCATGAGGAGTGACTGCTAATGAGGATGGGGGTTTCTTCCGGGGGTGATAGAAGCACTCTGAAATTGGACAGTGCACGCTTGCACAACAAGACGAATGCACTAAATGCCACCATCTTGTACACTTTAAGGTTAAAATGAGGACTTTTATGTTATGCAAATTTTACCTCAAAAACAAACAGACATGCAGTTGTGAAATAAACACAGGAGATTGTTTTTTAAGAATCAGATATGATGAAAACAAAAGGTATCAATAAAATGAAAAACAAAAACTCAACAGAATGGCTGAAAAGCACAAAAAGCACGGCTAATAACCAATTAATGAGCCGAAGGCGGGCCAGAGGCACAAAGAGAAAAAGTCAAAGAAATGTTAAGAGATATGAAAACTGATCATCATCAAAAGAACCATCATTCACTAGAGGAAATTCGTTAGGAGATAACGGAAAAGAAATAACTGAAGAAACAGAAATCTATGGACAGGGAGTGAAGATTAAAAGACCCAACAGATCCCTAGCAATGATAAATTGATTATCTAAAAATTAAACTAATTGGACACTTCAAAATTCTGAAAATCAAGACTAAACTAAACTTCTAAAAGCCACCAGAGAATACCAGCTTCACAACCTGACTCCACAACTCGCAACTTACTTAAAAGGAGACTCTCCAAGTACAGTTGACCAGGTAAGAGTGACTACTCCAGAAGGCTGTTAGAAACATCAAATGAGACAAGTAAAAGTACCTCATGTTAAGACAGGCAGGCAACAGACATGTACCATACACACTCAGAATGCCAGTTTCACTGTCATGAGAAGGTAAGCTTTTCACACACTAATATTTCTAACAAAAATGCTCCTCGCAACTACACTGAAATACAGTATTTCAACAGGCAATGTTCTTTTTCCATAGAACTCGTTTCAAAATCAAATATGCACCTTCTAGTCAATGACATCTTAAAGTCAAGGAAATACAGTGATATTTAATAACTACCAACTAGCAGGTACACGCATGATCCCACTTCGTAGCTATCTCATGTGATACACACTATTCTCCCATTTTTGGGGGTAAGTCAAGTGAGACAGGATTGTTGAGTAATCTGCCCAGGGTCACAGCCAAGAACAAAACCCGGGAATCAAATCCAACTCCAACTCCAACATTGAAGAATGGTTTACGACTGTAACTTCCACTTACTAAGTGTCCCCAGACTGATATTTGCCTTGTGATGCCTGCATTTTCCAGCATCTGTCTTCTCCCTCCCTGCCAATTACTTCCTGCTGCTTCCACTTTCGTGTGACCTTAAATAGCACTCTCCCCCTTGTCTCCCTATGGCTCTCTACTATTGTAACGTCCTTTCAACTGCAACACCAGATAAAAGCTTGCTTGACATAAAAATCAACCAAGTCTATGACCTCAAGAGCAGTGTCTGTTAAATATTCACGTACACACAAATGACCCTGCGGTCTTGTTAAATGCAAATCCTGATTCAGAAGGTCTGAGATGCGGTCTGAGATGCTGCACTTCTAACAAGCTCGGTACAGCAAGGTTTTGGCACTGAACTCCGTACCATCAATTCTGTTTGCTTTCAATTATCTGATGGCGGACTACCTCTACATAGATGAGGTTGGTAACATTGATGGTATAATTAATGCAGAACCGCTCATGAATCAGATTCCCCAGGCCAATGCTGCAGTAAGTTTTCATTTAAGTTTTCTAACCTTTTTCAGTAGCTAATATGCCACCACAACCACTTCTGCATCAGTTAGTATAGTGACTATACTCTCATCATCACAGTAATACGGTGGTAATAGTAATAATAGCTATCATTTATTAAGCATGTACTATGTTCCATAGGTTACAGGTTTCACTCTTTTACTTTAGAAAACCCTTAAAAAGAAAACAAACAAACAAACAAACAAAACCCAGGAGGTAAATATTCTCCTCCCCATGGTTCACACTGTACAGATGATCCTTGAATGACATAGCTTTGAATTTTGTAGGTCCACTTACATGTGGATTTTTTACAGTGCAATATTATAAATGCAGGATTCTTAGGATTTTATGATTTTCTTTATGATTTTAATAACATTTCTTAGTTTAAGAATGCAGAATATAATATATATAACATGCAAAATATGGGTTAATCAACTATTAATGTCACCAGTAAGGCTTCCAGTCAACAGTAGGTTATGAGTAGTTATGTCTGAGTCCAAAGTTACACTCAGATCTCTGACTGCATGGGGGAGGGAGGGTCAGCACCCCATGCTGTGCAAGGGTCAACGCTACTTAAGTCCTCTATCCCTGTCCCAAAGTACTTGGAAATGATGTAAATACAATATTCTCTGCAAGTCAGCTGAAAACTAAACACCATGGACTAAAGCACTGATTAACAGAAGTCACCTTGAAGACGTGACTCCTCAAGTGGCAAAAGCCTATATAACCAATTTGAATATATTTATCACTAAAGGAAGAAGTGATTCAATAAGGAGAAAGAGGTGAAGGCATTGTAAACGGAGAATTAACACTGTCAAACAGCTGACTTTGGCCAAAAAACTTTAGTGTTCCATACCCATTGATAAAATGCCCTCTCTTACTGGAAGATGGATACAGTGGGCTTATAAAACATTTGATGGCCTAACCTCCTCAGTCTGATTCTACATTTACCAAGAAATCTAATCTTTCATAGAAAAGAAATCATTAATTATGAAGAGTCTGAACAGTTTGTGTGACAGTTATTTCTCACAGTATATCAATACTATATCATGGTCACATGAGTTTCATTAATGTGCATTTATACACCCTTAAGGCATGTATGAATTCATTCTCCCTCCATTAGAACTCCTCTTGAAGTTGAAAGGCAGGCCCTCGGCCACAGTAAATTCATCAAGATGGTGAGTATTACCCTACGAAACCCAACAAAAGAAAGCAACCAGTCCTTATCCCCACTGGACACCAAGGCGTAGAGCAGTTTTTACTTGAAAATCAAATCTCTTAAAACATACCTCATCTAGGATTTCTCTATTTCTTTGTAGTAGTTCAGGTAGCTCTTTGATCAATTGATCAACAGTCTGGATGCCTCCCTGTTCAATCACAGATGTGGATTTAGTCAATATAGACTGAGGTACAGTATCTCCAGACACATCTTCAATTGCTGCTGGAAGATTAAGGGAAGCTAACACCCTGAAAAAATGAGATACTGTGTCATCTTGAGGTCTAAACCATCTTTAAAGCATTAATCTCCTCGTTAAAAAAAAAAAAAAAAATTAAAAAAGGGGCGCCTGGGTGGCTCAGTCGGTTGAGCGTCCGACTTCGGCTTAGGTCATGATCTCGCAGTCCGTGAGTTCAAACCCCACGTCAGGCTCTGTGCTGACAGCTCACAGCCTGGAGCCTGCTTCGGATTCTGTGTCTCCCTCTCTCTCTGCCCCTCCCCCACTCATGCTCTGGCGCTCTCTCTCTCTCTCCCTCTGTCAAAAATAAATAAACATTAAAAAAAATTTTTTTAACATTAATCTCCTGTATATCCTAATCAATTGCAATGGAGTTCACACCCCAAAATAACTGACAACCCTCATCAATGGAAAAATACAAGGATAGCAAAGATACAGGAATAAAAAAATGAAATCAGTGATTGATAAAATTAAAACAAAATTGTTAAAGAATTAAGATCACAGTTCAGAATTAAAAGCCAAAAAGTAAGAAATATACATTAAAAAACATGAGCTACCTTGAGCTCAAGCTCAAACTTAACTTCTTTCAGTCTAAGAAATTAAAAATCAAAAATTCTATCTTAAAAAATACAAACTTTTACCATACTTCTGGTTGTTATACTGTCACTGGCGAGTCAGAAATATACAAAATAGTTGTAATTTCATGTCATCTAAGCAGAACGTCAAGACTACAAAATTGATCTAGGTATTAATCACAGAATCTTCATCTGTTCTCAGTTTTGTAGCACAGTATCAACTATTATTTCATTTACATAACAGAGGGGTTATTAAGGTAAACTTATGTTTTCTTTCTAGAAAAAGAAAAGTCAGGTCAAAATCCATGCATCCATCAAAATTAAAAACCTGAAAAATTAAACTAACTAGGAAAAAAAATTCTCAATTACATATACCTGACAAAGGACTTGCTCTAAAATATACTAAGAACAAGAAAAACTCGATTTTAACAAACGAGCATAAAATATCAACAGATACGTTACAAAAGATAGATGAATGGCTAGTAAGCACACGAAGAGTTACTCAACATCATTAGTAATCACAGGAATGTAAACTGAACCGCAATTAGATTCTGCTACACACATACTAAAATGGCTAAAACTATTAAAAAGACTGACAATACAAAGTGCTGCCACGGATGCAGAGTTCCCAAAAAGTGCAGGTGGGAATATGAACTGGAGCCACCACTTTGGAAAACAATCTGGCTGTTCTGCATGAAGTTAGGCTTACACCAACCGAACAATTCAGCAACTGTAATCCTAGGTATTTACCCAAAGGAAATAAAACCTGTCCACACAAAGGTTTGCACATCCACGCTCACAGCACGTGAAATGTCCACCAACAGGCAAATGTAGAATAAACTGCTATTTAACCATAAAATGAAATACTGCTCACTAATAAAAAGGACCAAACTGATACATACCACACAGATGAATCTCAGAAACATTATGCAAAGTGAAAGAAGCCGAACACGTTTTGAGGACACACTATATGCGCTGAACATACCGCAAGGGTTCCATCCATACATACTGTAGCAATACCCTAACGTGTTGTATACCGTAATGTACGTGTAATGTAATGCACACGCCATAATGTTTATATTAACCTGTGTAAAAAGTGACACCAACCTAGGGTGACAGGGAGCAGATAAGCAGTGGCTAAGGGCCAGGGGAAGAAGGACTGAAGTGGCACAAAGCAACTGTTTAGGGTGATGTAAATGTTCTCTATCTTGATCACAGTGGTGGTGGTTACATGGTATAAATTGATCAGAAAGAACTGAACTATACACTTCAAGTGGGTCTATTTGTTGTACTTCATTGAAAATTATACTGAAGACACTATAAAAGCCAATGAATTATTTTGTTACTCTTCAATCCACCATTAACAAAAATTAGTTCAGAATACTGAACCATGTACCATGCTATCTATCTTAACTTACAAGTTCGTTTCTACTTCTCATTTCCCTCAAGTAAGTATCTCCTACCATGTAAATTAGTGGTCAAAAACTCTCACTTGTTTCAGTAATCGAATTTCTTCCAAGTCTATTTGCTAGGACTTAACAGATAGAGCATCTACCCAAAGTGCATAGGAATGTGTATTTGCTGCTTCACACAGCCTTGACATTCAGTTCCAAGCTCAGAAAACGAAACTTTCATAAACTATTTAGTTAGGGTAACAATCAAACAGAAAACATTAGAACTTTACAGATGTATTTATGGAAGTTAAAGCTGTACCTACCCATTTGCCAAAGTGGTGGCTTCTCTCATTTGAGCAATTGATCTGTTAACTAAGTCAGCTTTCCTCTGATTATAGGCGGCCAACGACTGCTGCACTGACACAGGAACCATATTTTCAAACAAATCTAAAATGAGCAATGTGAATTTCAACAAAATTTCAAGACAAAAAGTCCATCTGTAAAGTGAATGCTCATATTCCCTTTCCTATATTCACATAAAAATCTACAAATATTTAAAAATCAAAACTAAATCACTACTGGAAGTACAACGATGGAGAGAATTTTTAGAGCACTATATTCATGAACAATGAGAGCTTTTTCTTTGAACTTAATTTTCTTAACGTTTTAAGATGTGTTTGTCATTGACTTCTTTGGTGAAGAAGATCTACACTCTTTATTAGTTGATTACACTGGTTAAGCAGTCCACATTGCCTGGGTTTAATTTCCAGCTCCTTCCACCACCTTCTAGCTCTGCAACATTGGGCAAATTATTCAAGCACTCTGTGCGTCAATATCCTCATCACTCAAAGGGGGATAACAATAGTACCCATCTCATGAGACTGCCGTGAGAATATTAATTATGAGCTAGTTATCTGTACTTAAGAGTCCCTGGCACATGGTAAACACATCTTGTTTGCTAAACAGAAATAAATAAAATAATCAGCCTTTCCCAATAACGTACAATACTATCCTTGGGATCTCAGCTAGAAACTACTATACGTTGAATACATCTACAAAATCCAAGGATATTATAACATTTATCCCATACAACCATGACTCTGTAAGTTTATACATTTAAAGTCATATTTATGAATGTTTATTTTTAATAGAATCCTAAATAATATAACAAATGTTAAAATGACAAATGCTTAAAGTCTCAATCATTACTCAAATGTAGTTTCAAATTTTCTGACTGTGTTGGATAGTTTACACATGCTTTATTACCATTTACTTTCCATCTTGAATTTTCACTATAGATACAACACTTCATTTTTATTCTCATATTCATTTTGAACATGAATGCAAATCATATTCAAAACATACAATAGCAGTTATGTGATTTTCGCTACCAAAAACAACAGATTAAACTGGGGAAAAGATGAGTAAGATTAAAGCGTATCTGAGTACTTGACATACCAGTGAATTTCTGGCTGATGGGGACAGTGACTGGGGTAGATTTCACAAGTGTGGCTTTGCCAATTGGGTCCAGATCTTTAAGGTCTGGAACTCGATCATGATAGATGAAGTCATTATCCTTCTTTGCTGCAGAAAGGGCACGGCTGATTTTGTCAGAAAAGTCTTTCACATTGACATATTCATCATAGCGAGATGCCACTGTTTTAATCAATTCTGCTGCGTGCTAAAAAAAAACAAAAATGTTAAAAAAAGTTTTGTTTTTCTCAACCAATGATCTAAGCAATGGTTTTTAAAAAATTTCTTTGAGGACATGCATTTCCAGCAATGTGGTCAACAGAATAACCTAGAAATCATCCCATCCCAAAATTCCAAAATATCAAAAATGAAGAATAAACATAGTAGGCATCTGTCCCAACACATGCGTGAATTACCAAGAAAGTAAAAAAAAAAAAAAAAAAAAAAAAAAAAAAAAAAAATCCAGTAAGTATAGTAAGTGAGGCCAGTAAGTATAAACCAACATTGAGGAAGGCTGGCTGTCGAATATTTCTATAACCCAAAGGACTAGCAATTAAAACGTCTTACAAGCTCTCATAAAGACCTGAAACAGGGGTCTTACAACAAACACATCTCCATCTACGGAGAAACACTCGTTTCACTGCCCCACATGGAGGCAGGAACCTCAAATGTCTACTCCAACAGTGAAAGGCTGGGTCAGAAAAAAAGTACCCAGCCAACACAAGAAGTCAACAAAGAAGCATGTTACCTCAGCATTGACAGGAACATATTTTTTTAGGGGCGCCTGGATGGCTCAGTCGGTTAAGTACCCAACTTCAGCCCAGGTCATGATCTCACAGTGTGTGAGTTCAAGCCCCGCATCAGGCTGTTTGCTGTCAGCACAGAGCCCACTTCAGATCCTCTGTCCTCCTCTCTCTGCCCCTCCCTCATCTGTGCAGTCTCTCTCAAAATAAATAAACTTTAAAAAAAAAAAAAAAAAGGAACAGACTTTTTTAAAAAGGTCTACTCTCAGGCGCCTGGTGGCTCAGTTGGTTAAAGCATCTGACTTCCTGATTTCAGCTAAGGTAATGATCTCACGGTTCATGATACTGAGCCCCGAGTCGGGCTCTGCACTCACAGTGCAGAGCCTGCTTGAGATTTTCTCTCTCCCTCTCTCTCTGCCCCTCCCCCGCTCACGCTCTTTCTCTAAATAAACATTTAAAAACAAAAATAAAAGGTCTACCTTCATAATTCATAAGATGAGCAAATGCCTCACATAAATTTAGAGCTTAAATTACATTACTTAGGTGGTTTCAGATATAATAACAGCAGATAAAAGAGGCAATGAAGCCAAAGGCATCGTCAGGGATAAATTCAGTGCTTAATGTTTGATATCTGCCAATCTGCCAGAAAGACCTAAAACTTCTTAAATTTTGCATTTAACAAGACTCTATGTATATAAACAGTTACAATGAGAAACTGATAAATTTACCCCTCATCAGAGTGGAAGATGTTAACACTCCTGTCTCAGCATGACAGACCAAGTAAACAAAAAAACTGTAAGATTATAGAAGATGTGAATAACATAATTAATGAGTTTGACCTACCAGACATTCAGAACCCTGGACACCACAACTAGAGAATATAAAATATTCTCAGGCATGTAAAGAACATCTATAGAGAGTAACCACAGGAGAGAAAGCAAATATGAAACACCAAAGTTATAGAAATACAAGAATGGTTTAAGAAAACCTATTTATGTATTATCCAAATAATAGATTTAAATTTTTAAAAATCAAATTATTTCCACAGATACTGAAAAGCATTTGATAATATTCAATATTCATCACTGATATTTTTGAAAATCTCAGTAAAATCAAAATAGATATCCAATTCATTAACATGATAAAATCTCAACCCCCAAACCTGCTAACATACTTAGCAGAAAATATAACATTCCTGTAGTCAAAATGAAACAGTATCATCAACAACCTTAGAATGCGTCAAAACATCTAGATAAAAAAATGAAATTAAGAGGTATAAAGAAGGTATAAAGAAAAGGAAAAAATGATCATCTACAGATGATGTTTTATATACCAGGAAAACCTAAAACAGTCAACTGAACTATTCTAAATAAGAGGTAGCTCACATGCAAAATCAACAGAGCAAAACAAAAGCTACATCTTTAGTTATACTAGGAGATGAGAAAGGGCACAAATTTGAATCGCTTTTCAAATTTGATTTGTAAATATGTGGTCGAACACTCCCCTCAAATAGCAAAGTTGGTACCAGAATGATAAGACATACCAAGTACACTGGGGAAAAAAAGGGATTGCTAAGGACCCACCCCCATGAGTGAAAAGGACTTGAAGCAAATTTGAAAACAATGAAACGGAATAAGGAAACAAGTGCCAACAGATGATAAAGGCAAAGCCAACTGGTCCACGTCAGCCACCAAGAGGTCGCAGGAAAAATGGAGTGCTGAGAGGCCTCATCCCGAGAGGGAACTGCTGAGAGCAAGAGGCAGGTTAATCGAGGGCAGGGAGGCAGGGGGAAGCAGATAGGAGGAGTGAAACCAGGGAAAAAGAAGAAAGGGGGCAAGCACTCCAACAGGTCAGCAAAGTAACAGACTCTCAGAGCAGACACAGCACCTCGCAAAGGAAAGGCTGTGAGGGATTCAGGGACACACAGGTTCGGAGGAAGAGTCCTTCCTCAAGCAGGCTAGGCTTTGAGAGCCAAAGAAGTGAAGCCGAGGAGGGAGCTCAGAACACTACCACACGACCGGAGGGGGGCATGCCCCCACTCAGGAGCCTCTTGCGACTCCTCTACTAAAATCAATCTCATCCAAACACAAGTAATGGAAAAGGCATCCCATCTGCTTCAACACAAAGAAACCAGAAGGAAAAGGATGAAAATGAGCATGTAACTTTCCAATAGGTAATGAAAATTCACCAAGGAAATATTGTCACAAAGCAGATGAAAACAGCATGCTGAAAACACGAACAGAGGACCAGATGGCCTAGACAACAGCAGGTGACAGCAGACAGCGAGAGAAATGTGGAACAGGAACTGACAGAACTCAGGCAAGAAAGTGAAGAAAAACTCAAAATCATTTTTAAAAAGATTGAAATATGGGGGCGCCTGGGTGGCTCAGTCCATTGAGCGTCTGACTTCCTCTCAGGTCATGATCTCACAGTTTGTGAATTCGAGCCCCATGTCGGGCTCTGCGCTGACAGCTCGGAGCCTGGAGCCTGCTTCTGATTCTGTCTGTCTGTCTGTCTGTCTGTCTGTCTGTCTCTCTCTCTCTCTGCCCCCCCACCCCCGACTCACACTCTCTCCTTCAAAAATAAACATTAAAAAAATTTTTAATAAAAAATATAAGAAGATTGAATATTTACACAAGTAACAAAAAAGGGGTAACAGACATCATGTAAGAAACACACAACTCAATATGGCAGGCAAGGAGAGGGAGGTGGTTACAAATTAAAGATTGGTAAGACACCTGCCAGATGCCATGTGAGGACCTTGTTCTGCACAGACCAGCTGTGAAAAAACACCACAGAAAACGTCTTGGAAAACTAAACTAGGTTTCAGTAATATTACATTACTAGTATTAATTATTAATCAGTATTAACTTTGCCAGGTGGGCAGACGTTATAGTTTTAGAGCTTTTTTTTTTTAAGTCTTATCTATCAGAGATATGACTTGGTTTTGTTTTTTTTAATTTTTAATTTTGATTTTTTTTTTCTCTTTTGTTTCCTTCTCTTCACTCTTTTCCCTTTTTCTTTCTACCCTCCTCTTTTTTTTTCTTCCCTTTGGAATCGAGCTCATAGTTTCTGATTTGATTTTTGGTCAATTCTTATTCTGCTTGCTTGATCAGGCATTTAAATCTATTCTTTATATACCTTTTCTTTAATTTTTTTTAATGTTTTTATTTATTTTTGAAGGAGAGAGAGAGACAGAGCATGAGTGGGGGAGGAGCAGAGAGAGAAGGAGACACAGAGTTCAAAGCAGGCTCCAGGCTCTAAGCTGTCAGCACAGAGCCCGATCCCGTGAGATCATGACCTGAACCAAAGCCAGACACTCAACCGACTGAGACCCCCAGGCGCCCCTTTTTATTTCCTATTTTATATCTCCTTCCTATTTTCTTCTCTCTCTGGACTAAGCCTTATAGTCTCTTTGATTCTCTGCCTGGTGTTTTTTTTCACCCCTTTCATTTCTTTGTACAGGATAAGGTTCCCCCGCCTTCACTTTATTTTCCTTTTGCCCAGGGTTGCTTCAACGGACAAATCCACACACACCTGGTGGAAGGTCCAAACAATCCACCACTAAAGCAGTGGGACAGAGCAGCCAAAGATGCAACAACAGAGTGCAGGCAACACAGTCAAAAAACACTTTCTGAAGTGCCAGGCCCTGAACAGCGTATGACCCCTTTTAAAATATGGTAGTACTCACAGGTGCAGGACACTTAACAAGCGATTAAAACCCATAAAAGACAGAAACCTAGCCAAATAGATGAAACGGAAAAATTCTCCTCAAAAGAAAATCCAGGAAGAAATGACAGCCAGAGAATCGCTCACAACAACATATCTGAACAAGAATTTAGATTAATAGTCTTAAGACTAATAGCTGGGCTTGAAAAAAGCATGGAAGACAGCAGAGAATCTATTGCTGCAGAGAGCAAAGATCTAAGGTATTGTCACAATAAATGAAGAAATGCTATAAATTAAGTGCAAAATAAACTAGATGCAGTGACAGCAAGCATGAAAGAAGCAGAGGACAGAATGTGTAAAATAGAAAATAAAATTATGAAAAATGATGAAGCTGGGAAAAAAGAGGGAGAAGAAATTACTAGATCACAAGAGGAGAATTAGAGACCTAAGTGACTCAATGAAACGAAACAGTATCTGTATCCTAAGAGTTCCAGAAGAAGAAGAAGAAGAGACAGAAAAGGGCAGAAGGTTTATTTGAACCAATTATAGCTGAGAACTTCCCTAATCTGGGGAAGGAAACAGACATCCAACTCCAAGAGGCACAGAGAACTCCCCTCAAAATCAAAAACAGATCGACACCGTGACATATTATAATGAAACTGGCCAAATACAAAGATAAAGAGAGAATTCTGAAAGCAGCTCGGGACAAACAGGCCTTAACCTACAAGGGGAGACACATAAGCATAGTAGCAGACTTGTCCACTGAAACCTAGCAGGCCAGAAGGGAGTGGCAGGA